GCCACAATTCGTTGGGGAGAAAAAAATGTATTTTCTACATATTAGTAGACTATCTACAGTATATATAAGTCTCTGAAACCTGCACCCCGTGTACCCCTAGATATGCCACTGGTTTTGAACTAAATGTACGATTCTTAATTTATATTTATTTCTATGATATACTGCCCAGACCTGAAGTCGTCTTCCTTTTCATCAAATTCTTTGGATGGCTTAGTAGCTCATGAAAGTTTTTCAGAGCTTTGTAGAATGCTTTCACTTTATCAGCTGGCAGTGGTAATTCCGAGTCACGGTGATGGTTGCTAAAACGAACAGTCACAATCTGGTTGTCATCATCTACGCTGTAAAAAATTTTGAGACATAATTATGATTTTTGGATGTAGTTTGAAGCCCTATCCAGAGAGCTGCACCCCGTGTACCCTAGATATGCCACTGGTTTTGAACTAAATGTACGATTCATAATTTATATTTATTTCTATGATATACTGCCCAGACCTGAAGTCGTCTTCCTTTTCATCAAATTCTTTGGATGGCTTAGTAGCTCATGAAAGTTTTTCAGAGCTTTGTAGAATGCTTTCACTTTATCAGCTGGCAGTGGTAATTCCGAGTCACGGTGATGGTTGCTAAAACGAACAGTCACAATCTGGTTGTCATCATCTACGCTGTAAAAAATTTTGAGACATAATTATGATTTTTGGATGTAGTTTGAAGCCCTATCCAGAGAGTCAAATTTTAATTGACAAATTAATTGACAAAAACATGCCACATGCCTAAATATAAAGTGATTTTATCATGACCAAGGGCACACATGATACATGAGAGTTCAAATCTTCCCTGAATAGTCATTTGTTTAATATTTAAATAGGCCTACTCAACAACTTTTACCTGTTATCTGTTTTGTAAAGTGGTGATATCTTTGATAAAAGTGCTCTATAAATAACTGCATCATCATCATCATCATCATCATCATCATCATCATCATCATCATCATTCATCATAATCATCATTCATCATTATTATTATTATTTTTGTCAAAGTAAATTTGATAGTGTGGACAAAGCTTAAAGGCTTTCATTAAATCTCAAAGAAATCGTAACTGAAACTCCAATCCACTTTTTGCGTCTGATCAGCCACATGATCTGCATGCGGTACGACGCTTTGTTATTGTTTTGAGTTAATACACTATAAAGATAGCAACTTGTTTTTGCTATGTCTGTTGTAAACGACACCATAGTTGCTGTTTTTGTACTTTTAACTTGAAATTTATTTTACCAAATCACTAATGTTTCAATAATACATCCGAGACGTTCGAATATCGGACATCAAACGGCATGAAAGATATCGATGGTAAAGCTTGGACATAATGTGAAGAGAATTATTCACAGACTCGGACGCCTACTGGGTAGCCTACGGTTTAGAGTAGGTGGCCTGCTGTAGATGCTGCTGGGCACGCTGACATGTGCCTAGAAATGATGCTTAAGGCTCATTGGAGTTATACCGATAGCCAAAAAAAACGTCTAGCACCACTGTGGTGACATGATATATTTCTGAATGTTACACTAGAAAATAACCTTTCAAAGCCCATAAAACTTGATATTTATAACCCACTATTTAGAGTGTACTGATTGTGTGCAGCAGCGGTCCATGTATGCATGCCTAGTCTGCCAGACAGATTTTCCTGAGACATTCATTTGTCTTGGTGATCAAAATAAACGATTATATTATATTTTTATTAATTATTTATGCAGTCATAACCATAATATAATATAATATATAATATAGTCTATAGTCCTAAGAATACTACATTGGGATGGATTTATAGGATTGTGGATTGTGCAGTACTAAATACAGTAGTATAATACAAACTCCCAGGCCTTGTCTGGCCTAGCATTGCACAAGGTGCGATTTCAAGTTTAAAATCGCAGCTTAAAATAAAATTTATTTTTAATGTACAGCGATAAAATATTACATAAAAGTAAGCTATATAATATAAACTAACTTTTGAATAAGTTTATTTTTTATAAATGATATTCTCAAATAAATTGCTTAGCAAACCAATTCTAACCATAATTAATACATAACTTTACAGTAGAGCTTCACTATGCGGTATCCAAATGTTTGATTTAATACCGCATGCATATGAGGCAAGCGCAAAAGGTGGATTGCCAATGGCTTTTTTTTCTGCATTTGTTTTTTAATGTTTGTGTATGAATTCTGAATTTTGAATTAATATACCTTAATCATAACATAATAATTTTATAATGTAAGAGTATTTAGCCCACACAACTACGAACCTAATAACTGGACAGAAACTTCGATAGAAAGATGGATTTTCAGGAACTAGGTATGTTGACGCAACATTCGTAGTGGCCAGAATGTGAAAGGCTTCTGGGTCTTGTTCTCGTAATTGGCTAGCTGCATTAAAGCCATCGACAAACTCATGGCTTCCACCACCACCTCCTTGCCTCACCATGTGCAACATAACGATCTGTAAAAAAAATAGTGGAACTAATACAATAATTCCTCGTTTTAAACCTCCCTTACTTGGGCCAGCATCACTGCCTTGGTGGTGCACAGAAGTGGAACCAAAAGTGGGAATTACTATAAAGTTAGTCAAGCATACTGCCATGTAGAGTATCTTTGTATATACAGTACCGTAAAACCTCAAACTGAAGCCCAGTGGGCTTAATCTCGAGATGAAGCCCACCCCGAATTGAAGCCCCTCTTTAGTTTTCAAAATTAGCTCCAATATTATTATATATTATTATTGTTACATCTGTCCTCCACACCTGTATGCCACCCCCTCTCCCTAAAAAGGTGCCCTCCAGCCAGGCCTACTACAACCAATTCAATGCTCAAAGCAAAAAATTCATGTTTAAGTAAATAAAAATCAAGTTCCTCCCCACCCCCACCTCCATTTGTTATACTAACTGTCCTCACTAGTGGTCAAAGTGTCATTAACCCTTTCATATCAAAATATAATCATAATCTATTTTAAATAATAATTATGTAGTTTTAAATAGATATTTCTATTGGTATTGTCATGTACCCATACCTCTAAAAAATAGGGATGCATTAAATATTGTTTTGACAATGAGGTTGTGGGTCGTTTTAATTGAAAAGTAAATTTTTCATTGATAGGCTATTCGATCGAGATTTACGTCAGTGTTCTTCATCCTCTATTCTAGCAATGTTTCTACAGTACCATTATTTGGCTATTTATCACAAGGGATTAACGCAGCAACATTGATTCATGTTACTTCATGTCATACAGCTGCGATTTCTTGAGTAGGCCTACTCTCTAGCTTAGCTCATCCCCACGTTGTGAGGTGTATGTTGGGTTCTATCCGTGCGAATAAACTAGTGGTGTCTCCGGTCAAGTGGTTGAGACTCGCATTGAGAGCAAGAGATTGTTGGTTCAATTCCCACCAGGAAACTTTTTAGTTTTCTATGCCAGATACAATCTTTGCATCATTGTTCCTTTAACCGAGCGCTGTTTTTCTACAAATGTTTAATTATTGATATGTAAAATGTATTTGACAGAAACTAGTTTTTACAAATAAGCCTATAAGAAGATTGAAATATATAAATATCTTATAGCCAATTTATATAAATGCAAATGTATTACTGTATACTGTACCTCAGGGACTCGTTCGAACGCTTGATCTGTATGAAGAGGCAATGCTGCTGCTTCCCACGGTTCATCACCTGGCTCTCTAAAATGGGGGACTTCAAAATAATGTCTATAAAAACAATCATATTGTAAATGTTGACAGTTTGTTGGAAGAAGCCATTTTCGAAGGGTATGGCGGGGGGGGGGGGAGACTTTCTTAGATGGAGGGTCTAGGCCAAATCAGCCCCACCATGGTTGGAGCTGAGGTAAGAAAATTTATGATTATAGCACCGGAAATGGCCACTCTCAGAATTATATTTGAATGCAAGTTTTCTTTTGTACGGGCCCATTTTTTCATAATTTTGAAATATTTAGGGGGCCTACTTCCCCCTCCATTGAATCTGGTAATGAGCTTTTTTAACACATTTAATTTTATTTTGCTGCACAAAGTGAAACCCATCGGCACTGACTTCCATGAGAAAGTTAATAATAAAGTAGTGAAAACTTGCAAAACTATGAATTTTTGGAGATTGGTTGGTTTCCGGGAGATTCCTGCTTACTTGCATGAGTGCAGGAGGCCGTCCCAATTTTCGGGGCTTCCGCGAGTTAAGAAGGCTCTGGACCCCTGAAAACTTACGATAAATTCACTGGTAGTTTTTTTTTTATAAACTTGAGGTGGGTAGCGGATTACTTACCCAAAGTTACTTGGAACCGGATAACTGACTCTCATTGCTAATTTTTCGAGATTTTCTATGTCTGAACCAGCATCCGGAATAAGAGCAATACCGTGAACCTTTATTGCCTCAAGCCACTGATTCAAGGCTTGATTACTCTCAATAAGACTATTGTACTTGAATGTCGGCACCCTATTCTGCATTTCATTGCCCCAGTACTTGACCACCGCTCTCCATGGTAAGACCTCGTTACTGACCGTTGAGGGAAACGTACGCGAAACAATCCATTTCTCTGGAAAGAAAGCTGAGTGCCCATCACCCCAACTCACTTCCAAACCTTCATCCATTTTCTGGACATGCTGAGGTTTGACATCAACGTTAAAGGTTGTAAAACAACTTGCTCGAATGGAAAAGGTGTGGTTCCTGCAAATATCACACTGACAATTATCATATAGCCAGACGTAAGGATACTGACGCGTTTCATTATTCGAAAGTGTTACATTTACCATTCCAATTTCTGATATTCGGCTCCAATTTCCCCACCAGCAGCCTGCTGTAGTAGTGATCTCTGACAGCGGAGGTTTGCTGATATCTGCCCACTATGGACAGAAACGCAAACTTATTTACATTGTTCTTAACAGTAGACAAAGTCCTGAACATCCTGTTCTTCTGTATTAAAAATAATAATAATTAATATTATAATTAAGAATAATAATATTAATAATAAACAACCTATTAACAATAATAATAAAATACAGTAATAATAATAATAATAATATAGTAATAATAAATAACAAACAATGATAACTAGAGTTACTATGTCTGTTTGTAAAACAGAACACGGCTTTTCCTTATTGCCTTAAGAAGTATGTTAAAAATTACAAGGAAAAAAAATAAACTCATTTAAAAAGTCTAATGTCAAAAACCACATGAAAAACAAAAAGGAAATCATACTAAAGAAAAATTATGCGGCTAAAAAAAAAAACTGAAAATGTCAGGGAGAATTATGACTGCCGAGGTGATTTTGCGTGGGAGGCCGAGTTGACCTGCTTCCTAGCTAGACAACCTAGGCTAGGCCTACAGTACAATTGTCAGCTGATAAACTATTGTGAAAAACTAAGAAAAAGTGTCCTGTAAATTCATCCAGGCTGTCCTTTCTTCGAAATTCCACCAACCGTTTTGCGCTAATGACCTTTTGCATAGGCCTTTTTCACGAATCGGTAGACATTTTGAAGTGATGACAAACATTGCGAATCAGTGGTACGTAACCAACAGAAATAAGTTAAGCTTTTGGGCTGATTTTCTGACATCATGTTATTTAAAAAATCATAACTCCATAACGGGGCGTCGTATCCAAAAAAAAAATATGGGATGTTTTTATGTAAATTTTGTTTTGTTGTTTGTCTAAATTGTCAACGGACCCCATTGGAAATAAGTCTTTGGACTTTATGGGCGTTCCTGGCATCCTTTGTGTCTCTTTTTTTTATATGAACTTTTTATCGATTTTATGTGTTTTATCTGTAATGTATACAGTATACTGTTTTTTTTCAAAGTCATTTTCGATCGTTCTCGATAATAATAATATTAACTAGCAGTTTCTAATAGAAAGTAAAATGCTGCGAGTGTGCAATTTATGTAAATACTAATAGATATTTCAGTACATAAAAGGGTGTACTGATTTTGAGTTTTAGTATTAAAGGTTGGTAGAAATGTTGGTTTCAAGATTTTGTTTACAATGCTACAAAACAACATAATAATATACTAATAGACATGTTAGTAGTCGATCTTGTTTTAATGTTAACCACAATAGGCTTCACAGTATTTAAATATGTAAAAAAAAGCATTATCCACAATAGCCTTCACAGTATTTAAATCTGTTTAAACAAAAAAATATTTAAAACTTTTTAATATTTTCTCAATTTTTAAAACTGTTTCAAAAAAGTAGTTAAAAAAAGAATTTAAAAAAAACCAGTTTATTCATTTCGTGCTTCTCAGTATTAATAATAATAATATTATTATTAATAATAATAATAATAATAATAATAATAATAATAATAATAATAATAATAATAATATATGAAATTCTCTGAGATTAAATAAGAATTGTTTTGCTGACAATTCTAAAAATTGGTAATATATTTTGTTAATTTCTTTTTTTTATTAGGTAAACATATATTTGTTTTCAATAAATAGAAGATTGTTGTATTAGCAGGGGCAGATCCAGAGAAGGGAGGGGGTGGGTGGGTGAACAATATGATGTTCTCGCCGCCACGCCCACCTTAGCCCCACCATTAGTTAGTTTGAGTATAATTTTACAGTAGGCCCTATGTGGTTATTAAAAAACAATGTTCTTTTTCTTGCAGTTCCCAGTAGTGAAAAGTAAAGTGTACAAGACAGTAGGATTATATTATCAATTTCTAATGATCCTTGAAAATAGAGGCTTTTGTGCTTTGTTGCGTTATTTTAATTGTTAAATCAAATATATCTGAATTTCATATGTTTGTTTTCGCGGCTAGTAATTCCATTTATCAACAAACAAATGAGACATTCTCCAAAAAAAAAATCTTTTCAGAACTAGGGCTATCTACGTTGTACTGTCAGCATTACTTCAACATGCAAACCTTTAAACAATATTTCATCATTATCATCATTTTAGAATTTACAAAGACAACAGTACATCATCCTATTCCAAATCGCAAATATGGATCCATCGGGGGCAGATCCAGAGATGCCTCTTATACACATCTAGATGTGTATAAGAGACAGACAGTACAATTGCAGCACTGGGGGCGTAACCCTTTTAGGAAGTTAAAATAGGGGAAAAAATTTATCGCCTAAAACGCCTCAGAGGTTACATTCGAGCGACTGTCTGGAAAACAAATATTTCGCGGACCTCCCCTTAGGGCAGTGTTATTTCGATGGGCACCATTTTCGGTTCCCCTGTCGGACATTTCTGGATCCGCTCCTGTCAGCAGGGGCCCTGTGCATATATGGAAAATGAAATATTAAAGCTTTAACAAATTTGAATATTTTTTTTTTAATCGGAACCATAGACGAGAGATAAACACACCATATACATGCACTGCCATGGCATGTGTTTGCACCTAAAAATAGCCAGTCTAATTTTATCATCTGACAAAGGATTTCTGCTACACCCTAAAGAGTACCGTGGGAACCTGTTTGTGTAGGCGTTTCTTTCCGATTTTTATAGTTAGTTTCCATGCAACAATAGGCCTTGTGAGTGAAATTTCCGGCTTACTTAATTTCAAAAGAAGCCTGAAACAGCCATTAACATTGTAGGCTTATAAATTTTATTTAAACTATATTTTACGATTTCAATTTATTTGTGTATTTTATAAACATGCATAATCAAAATATGTATCGACAATGGAAATAAAACAAACAAGAAGATACAAACCATGTGTCTGCTGCTTCACATCAACATAATTGTTGAAAACGTTTCTTTTCTCAAATTATACTGTAGTTAATAATTTTTTAGTTAATTTCTATGCAATGAGTGATTTTGTCAGCCTTCTAAATGTACACCATTTAAAAAGAGAAATTTCACTTCTATAAACCATGATGAAGTTTCTCAGCAACATTGAGCATAAAAATCACAAAATCAGCAAAAAGGAAAACTAATATCCAAAATCCGTTAAAAAAGTCGTCAAACAACAAAACCCGCTACTGTATATTAACATTAAGTAAAGTACAAGTGTTCTATTTCTCTCCAAGTGGATTTATGAATAGCACTCTCCTAGGGTGTTTTTGGTAGGAAAAGAAGACTTAAACACTGTGGGTGTCATTTTTTCTTTGCAAAAAAATAGGGGGGGGGGGGGGCCGTGTGCGACACCTCCCCTCCCCCCACCACCACCCCTCCTAAATCCGCCACTGGAAATAGGCCTATAGGCCCTAGGTTTATGTAGGCCTACTTTGTTTCATGTCAATTAGAGACAGGATTATACAATTTTATACAGTATATCTTGTAAATTACACAATATGATTAAACCAGGTACTGTACAGTACTTGAAAACAATAAGAAAGCAAAACTTACATGTCAAAAGTGTCAAAGGTTGTCTACACAAAAACTGTACTTTATTAAAAGAGTATAAGTCTACTGAAGGGGTGTCGTCAATGGAGATGTGCACACATATCAGTGTACTGTGGTCACTGTGCATGGGGTTGTCTGGCAGCACATACCTGCTGACCTCGATAGAGAGTGATTGATTGCACAAAGGTTTCCATGCTGGTGCATCTGCGCTTAAACGGTCTTCGTAGCTATGCATTGCGCGAGGTGACATAGAATCAACCTTTTTATGGAATTGTGTATCCATTCAATTATCTCCACAAAAAAAAAATTTTTTTTTTTTTTTTTGGGGGCTTTCGCGCCCCCCCCCCTAAATCCGCCCCTGTGATTAGTCAGTTCTTTATATTGACGTTGGCTTTCGAATAAAGGTATTGTCTAGAAATCCTGGCATACTTAGTTGAGGGTCTTAATTTGCGGGGTCTGATATTTGGAGTGGGTCTGATATCATGGTCTTAGGTCTTAGCTTTCGTCTGGTCTGAGCTTTTGGGACACCCGGCAGTAGCATATAGTTACAGTACTTTCGTGCTGTTACTTACTGTTCCAGGTACCGATACAGACTTCTCTTATTATAAAGTACAATAAAGAAGTATAGTATAATAAATCATGTTTTTAACACAGGAAACTCTCATATGGTAACTAAAACAATGCTAGTCCTGAGTATTACTAGTACTACTACATTGTAATGCATAGACCACCAGGCCTAGTAAATTAAGTGCGTACTTGCGTAAACTAAAGGTCTCCTACTAAATCCAGGCTAGATCTAGGCCTAACTAAGCCTCCATGCATGGTTCAAAATGTGTACAGGCATATCAAAAGCAGGCACTTGTCGGCAAAGGGGATCAGCTGAAAAAGGCTGCTAAATGTATGGAGGGTGATTTTATTCAATTTTTTTATTTTCGCATGAATGGAAAGAAAATTTAATCTAGTTTTCAAAAATATATGTCTTGGCTCTTGATTATAATTAAAACGACTAGAAAATTAGCTTAATTAGAAGGTTATCAAGACGATCTTTTGTTTACTAATAGTGTAAAAATCGCTAAACAAAGGGTAAATAAATGCTTCGATCTTATCGGCATTTCTGAGCCGATCCCTTCGAGCCTACTATCAATGGAAAGCTTATCAAAAATGCTTTTCAACTGTCGACATCTTGGAGCTGTAGTATATCAAATTGACCAATGACAGCGAGTTTTTCTGATGTAAACACATCCTTTTTGTTGCCAAGAGGTGATGAAATAAAGCCTACCATTGGCCAATGATGTTATGACGGGTTGTGCTCATGCTCTGTTAGTAAAAATACCACCGCATGACTGACTTGGCCGTATGCGGAAGTGATCATTCGCAAGTACACGCTCTGTCGAGGAAAGTAAATAATACGATCTTTTTGTTCTTTTTAATAAGTTTTATACCTAATTTTCTACTTTT